GGGAGTGAGAGGGAATGAGGGAGGGAGTGGGGGGGGGGAGGGAGGGAGGGGGAGGGACAGAGAGAGTGAGTGTGAGAGTGAGAGAGTGAGTGATTGAGTGAGGGAGGGGGAGGGAGAGAGGGAGGGGGAGGGAGAGAGTGAGTGAGAGAGTGAGTGAGTGTGAATGAGTGAGAGAGAGGGAGTGGGAGGGAGGGGAGGGGGAGGGACAGAGAGAGTGAGTGAGAGGGAGTGAATGAGTGAGAGTGAATGAGTGAGTGGGAGGGAGGGAGTGGGAGGGAGGGAAGTGGGATACCGGCAGAGCGACGGTGCCGGGGCCGGGTGCAAGGAGTGCGGGCACCCGCAGGAGCACCCCCCCGGTGCAAAATAAAACTGCCAAAAATCACACTGAACGCTGTGCCTGGTCTGTGCTGTCCCCGCGAGCCCCCCACCCCCGAAATGGGGCTGGGACCCCCAAAGACCCCTCCCCATAAACATAAAACCCCTCAAAATGGGACAGAGACCCCTCCCCATGGGCCTGGGACCACCAGAAATGGGCCTGGGACCCCCAAAGACCCCTCCCCACGGGCCTGGGACCCCCAAAGACCCCTCCCCATGGGCCTGGGACCCCCAAAGACCCCTCCCCGTGGGCCCAGGCATGACAAAAAGAGACAGAACTCCAGGAAAACTCTCCTTGGAAACAACTCCCAGCATGGACAATCCCCCCGGTGCTCTCCTAGCCCGGGGGCCACCAAAACCCCCCCGAGGCCACCGGGGCAGTCCCTGAGGTAGGACATGCAGGGCTGGCCACATGCTGGGAAACGGGGAGGGGGACCCCCAGAAATGAGGAGGGGGCTCTTCCAGTTCATCCAGCCGGGAAAAGCAGCAGCAGCATCCGGAGGGGCTCGTCCGGGGGGGGTTCTGGTGGCCACAGCTGGATGGTGGCAACTGGGAAGTCTCTGCACCCCTCAGCTGGGCTGGCACCGTCCCCATGCCAGGGATTTGGGGGGGTCCTTGGTGCCCTGGCACTGGTGGCAATGTGGTGTGGCCAGCACTAGCCAGGGTGGGGCTCACCTGGTGGCCACAGCAGCGAGAGAAGCACTGGGAAGTCTCTGCGCCCCTCAGCTGGGCTGGCACCGTCCCCATGCCAGGGATTTGGGGTTCCCTGCCACCCTGGCGTGCGGCCAGGGATGCGGCCACCACTCGCCCAGGAGGGGGCTCGTCCAGGAGGGTTCTGGTGGCCACAGCAGCAGGAGAAGCGCTGGGAAGTCTCTGCCAGGGAACGTTCCAGCACCCCTCAGCCGGGCTGGCACCGTCCTTTGGGGGTCCCTGGCACGGCTGGCAATGGGGACGTGGCCCCCGCTAGCCCCGGGGCTCTGGGGTCAGTAGAAGTGCTTGCGGCTCTGCTCCTGCCACTTGTTGTAGAGGATGATGCCGATGACGATGGCGAAGACGAGGGCCACCAGCGAGAAGAAGACGATGAGGAACAGGGCCAGGCCGCTCATGGGCTCCAGCGGCGCCTCCACTGCGGGAACAGGGATTTTGGGGTTTGGGATTTGGGGATTTTGGGAATTTGGCATTTGGGGATGAGGAACAGGGCCAGGCCGCTCATGGGCTCCAGCGGCGCCTCCACTGCCGGAACAGGGATTTGGGGATTTTGGGATGAGAGTTTGGGGTGTGGGAGTGTGGGATTTTGGGACAGGAATTTGGCATTTGGGGATGAGGAACAGGGCCAGGCCGCTCATGGGCTCCAGCGGCGCCTCCACTGTGGGAACAGGGATTTGGGGATTTTGGGATGAGAGTTTGGGGTGTGGGAGTGTGGGATTTTGGGACAGGAGTTTGGCATTTGGGGATGAGGAACAGGGCCAGGCCGCTCATGGGCTCCAGCGGCGCCTCCATTGCGGGAACAGGGATTTTGGGGTTTGGGGGTTTTGGGATTTTGGGATTCTCAGATGGGATTTTGCCACTCACTTCCCGGCAGCCTCAGGTTGTCCACCACGGGCAGGAAAACTTCCCGATCCCGTTTCTCCTCCTCCGGTGTCCGCTCCACCGTCAGCTGGTACAGCTTCAGCGAGATGATGTCGTGGTTGTCTGCAAAAGAGCCCAAAAACTTTTTATTCCGGGCTCATCCCAAGGTTTTATTCCATGCTAATCCCCACGTGAACCCCCCAAATCCCCTTGGGAACCCCCCCGGACCCTCCAGGTTGTACCTGACAGGTCCCCGGTGACGGAGGACGTCCCAAAGTAGTAGCCCCGGGGCAGCCGCACGCCGGGCACGTCGATGCAATCCCGCCACTCGTGCTTGCCGTCGATGTCGATCAGCACCTGCCGAGGAACAGCCTGAGCCTGGCCCAGCGCTTAAAACTGGCTTAAAAGCTAAAACTGGGTTTAAAATTGAGGTTTAGACTCGGAGGATCTGCGGTTACAACTGGAGGGTTTGAAGGTTTTCGTGTTGGTAGGTGCTGGCGCTCAAGAGGACGCTGCGTTGGAGAGGAAGGCGTGGAAAAAAAATCCCAAATCCACTCTGGAATCCCAACTGGAAACCCCCAAATCCACTTGGGAATCCAACCTGGAGCCCTCAAATCCACTCAGGAATCCCAAATCCACTCGGGAATCCCACCTGGAGCCCCCAAACCTACCGTGAGCCTCTTGACGCCTGGAACCCCCAAGTCCATTCAGGAATTATACCTGGAACCCCCAAATCTACTTGGGAATCCAACCTGGAGCCCCCAAATCCCACCTGGAGCCCCCAGACTGACCGTGAGCCTCTTGACGTAGCGTATGACCAGGAAGGTGTCGCGGTTGAGGTTGCACACCATGGCGGTGCAGCTCTTGGGAACCTCAAAACCACTCAAGAATCCCACCTGGAGCCCCCAAATCCTCTTGGGAATCCCACCTGGAGCCCCCAAATCCCACCTGGAGGCCCCAGACTGACCGTGAGCCTCCTCTTGACGTAGCAGATGCCCAGGAAGGTGTCGTGGTTGAGGTTGCGCACCGTGGCGGTGCAGCACTCACGAACCCCAAACCCACTTGGGAATCCCACCTGGGACCTCCAAACCCACCCAGATCCCACCTGGAGCCCCCAAATCCCACCTGGAGCCCCCAGACTGACCGTGAGCCTCCTCTTGACGTAGCGGATGCCCAGGAAGGTGTCGTGGTTGAGGTTGCGCACCATGGCGGTGCAGCTCTTGGGAACCTCAAAACCACTCAAGAATCCCACCTGGAGCCCCAAATCCACTTGGGAATCCCACCTGGAGCCCCCAAATCCACTTGGGAATCCCACCTGGAGACCCCAAACCTACCGTGAGCCTCCTCTTGACGTAGCGGATGACCAGGAAGGTGTCGTGGTTGAGGTTGCGCACCATGGCGGTGCAGCCGCCCAGCTCGGTGGGGCGCCCGTCGCGGTCGTGGTCGTAGGTCAGCGAGCCGTTGTTCACCATGGCCGAGATGTAGGGGAACACGCGCTGCCCGGGGGGGAAAAGCTGGGGTTGGGATCCTGGAGGAGGTTTGGGATGGCGGGGAGACGCCGGGAAGGGGAGGTGGGGCAGGGCTGGAGTTGCTCGGTGGAAGAGCAGAGTGATCCCAAAGTTCTCCAACTGCGAGCCCAAAGGCCTTCAAGCAACGAGGGAACGATCCCAAAGTCCTCTAACCAACACAGGAATGACCCCAAGGTCCTTCACCCCACAGAGATCCGCTCAAAACAAATTGGGAATGACCCCAAAGTCCTTCACCCCACAGAGATCTGCTCAAAACAACACAGGAATGACCCCAAAGTCCTTCACCCCACAGAGATCTGCTCAAAACAACCTGGGAATGACCCCAAAGTCCTTCACCCCACAGAGATCTGCTCAAAACAACCTGGGAATGATCCCAAAGTCCTTCACCCCACAGAGATCTGCTCAAAACAATCTGGGAACAATCCCAAAGTCCTTCACCCCACAGAGATCTGCTCAAAACAACCTGGGAACAATCCCAAAGTCCTTCACCCCACAGAGATCTGCTCAAAACAACCTGGGAATGATCCCAAAGCCCTTCACCCCACAGAGATCTGCTCAAAACAAATTGGGAATGACCCCAAAGTCCTTCACCCCACAGAGATCCGCTCAAAACAAATTGGGAATGACCCCAAAGTCCTTCACCCCACAGAGATCTGCTCAAAACAACCTGGGAATGACCCCAAAGTCCTGCACCCCACAGAGATCTGCTCAAAACAACTTGGGAATGACCCCAAAGTCCTGCACCCCACAGAGATCTGCTCAAAACAACACAGGAATGACCCCAAAGTCCTTCATCCCACAGAAACCTGCCCAATGGAACACCAGAGTGATCCCAAAGTTCTCCAGCCATGATCCCAAAGTCCTTCACCCCACAGAGATCCGCTCAGAACAACCTGGGAATGATCCCAAACCCTTCACCCCACAGAGATCTGCTCAAAACAACCTGGGAACGATCCCAAAGTCCTCTAACCAACAGAGGAATGATCCCAACATCCTTCAAGCAACATGGGAAAGATCCCAAAGTTCTCCAACCAACGCGGGAATGATCCCGAAGTCCTTCACCCCACAGAGATCTGCTCAACACAACACTGGAATGACCCCAAAGTCTTTCAACCGACACTGGAATGATCCCAAAGTCCTTCATCCCAAATGATCTGCTCAGAAACCACCAGGACGACCCCAGACTCCATCCCTGGGGATCCCAAACCCCAAAAATCTCCTCAAAACCCACTGGGATGACCCCAAACTCCATCCACCCAGGATCATCTCCCACCGATCCGGCACCGAGCCCCCGTTCCATGCAGCCTCTCGTGGCTCCCCCAGGGATTCCTGGATCTGGGAACGGGGAATTCCTGGATCTGGGAATGGGGAATTCCAGGTGGGACAGCAGGAGGCAGTACCTGGTTTCCAGGGCTGTACCTCCTCTTCTGAGCCTGCCCTCCAGGATTAGCACAAAGCAAGAGAGAGCAACACAGTCACAGAGTCCAGCAGGACCCAAAATCCCGGAAAATTTCCCCCGGAACAGAGTCCAGCAGGGCCCAAAATCCTGGAATTTTTGCTTTTTCTCCTTTTTGGAGCTCTTTTTGGTCTTTGGAGCTCTTTTTGACCTTTTAGATCTCTTTTTGACCTATTTGGAGCCTCTATGTCTTTTTGGAGCTATTTTTGACCTTTTGGAGCTCCTTTTTTGAAGCTCTTTATGACCTTTTTGGAGCTCTTTTTGTCCTTCTGGAGTTCTTTTTGACCTTTTTGGAGATATTTTTGATTTTTTGGAGCTCAGCTCAAAAATTCTCTCCCAATTTCCCTGACGAAAAAAAATGTGGAATAGGAATGGGAAGAGGAAGAGAAGGAGGAGGAGGAAGGAGCTCTGAGGATGAAGAGCTGTGTGTGACACTGGTGGTTCTCACCTCCTGCTGCTTCTCCTCGTTGGGATACGTGTCCACGAACACTCCCAGCCCCAAGAAGTTGTCCTTGCTCCCAAAAACAGGTCCTGGAAGGGGAAAAGAAAAGTTGGGATAAGGTTGGGAAGCTCAGGGATGAAGTTTGTCACTTGTTTGGGAAAGCCCTCAAGGACCATCCAGTCCCATCCATGTGGATGATTTCCCTGAGTCCAGGATGCTCCAAGCCCTGTCCAAGGTGTCCCAGGTTTCCCCAAACCCTATCCAAGATATCCCAGGTGTCCCCAAACCCTATCCAAGGTGTCCCAGGTGTCCCCCAAACCCTGCCCAAGGTGTCCAAGATGTCTCCCAAGTCCAGGTTGCTCCAAGCCTTGTCCAAGGTGTCCCCAAGCCCTATCCAAGGTGTCCCAGGTGTTCCCAAGCCCTGTCCATGGTGTCCCCCAAACCCTGTCCAAGGTGTCCAAGATGTCTCCCAAGTCCAGGTTGCTCCAAGCCTTGTCCAAGGTGTCCCCAAGCCCTATCAAGGTGCCCCAGGTGTCCCCTAAACCCAAGGTGTCCCCCAAGCTCCAAGCCCTGTCCAAAGTGCCCAAGGTGTCCCCACAGCCCTGTCCAAGGTGTCCCCCAAAGTCCAGGTAGCTCCAAACCCTATTCAAGGTGTCCAAGATGTTCCCTGAGCCGTACCCAAGGTGTCCCAGGTGTCCCCAAACCCCATCCTAGGTGTTCCAGGTGTCCCCAAACCCCATCCAAGGTGTCCCACATGTCCCCAAACCCTGTCCCAGGTGTCCCCAAACCCCATCCCAGGTGTCCCAGGTGTCCCCAAGCCCTGTCCCAGGTGTCCCAGGTGTCCCCAAGCCCTGTCCCAGGTGTCCCAGGTGTCCCCAAGCCCTGTCCCAGGTGTCCCAGGTGTCCCCAAGCCCTTGTCCCGAGGCAGGGACGGCGTTTACCCGGCTGCATCCTGTCCTTGGTGTACCAGATGGCGAAACCATCCCCGTTGAGGTTCTTCTTGCCTTGCCCGTGGATCTTGAAGTGCACCTGCATCTCCCAGTCCCGCAGGTAACAGGGCTGGCAGAGAGCAGGAAAAGTGGGAAATTCGGGAATGCCTCATTCCCTAATTCCACGTCCACCACCCCCCAGGCTCCCTTCACTGAATCCTGGATAATTAATCCCAAAAAACATCGTTAATCCCAAAAAAACCATCGTTAATCCCATGAAATTCGTTGTCAGCCAAGGGTTGAACACTGAGGGAGTGACTCCAACAAAATCAGGGAAAGAAGCAGGAAAACCTCAGGAGCAGCTGCTAATTGCAATTATTAATTAGCTGCCAATTAATTCTGTGTTCTGCGGGAGTCACGGTGGCTTTTTGGGAGCTGGAGTTCCAAGGAAAAATCCAATTCCCACTCTGGAAATCCAATTCCCCCTTGGGGAATCCTGTTCCCACTTTGGGAATCCCGTTCCTAACCCTAACCCTGCCCCAATCCCAATCCTGACCCTCTCCCTCTCCTAACCCTGCCCCAATCCCAATCCTGACCCTCTCCCTCTCCTAACCCTGCTCCAATCCCAATCCTGACCCTCTCCCTCTCCTAACCCTGCCCCGGTCCCAGTCTTGATCCCGATCTTGATCCCAACTCTTTCCTGACACAATCCCAACCCAAATCCCAATTCTCTCGTCCATCCCACTGCACCCCATCCCAGGGATCCCATCCCATGGATCCCATCCCATCCCATCCCGGTGTCCCCTCAGACCCGACGCCCGCCTGTCCCAATCCCAGTCCTGTCCCTTTCCATTCCGGTGCCCTGTCCCGATCCCGATCCCCTCCTGTCCCGGTGCCCCCCGCTCACCACCCGGTTCCACACGGCTCCCTGCTTGCTCTGCACGTCGGGGGTGAGGCGGATGAACTGCGTCATGACCATGGCGTTGCCCAGCAGGTCCCAGAGTCCCGAGCTGGCCGAGCTCACACCTGCGGCCCACACGCACCGTCGGTACCGGACAGCGGCACGGGGCACCGGGCACCGTCCGCCAGCACCGCCCGCCCTCCCCGCTCACCCTGGTACGGTTTGGACAGCGAGTGCTCGCGTTTGAGGTGCTCCTCGGTCTGCTCGGCCGCCGTCCCGCCGAGCCGCAGCAGCACGGCCAGCAGGGCCAGCCCGGCCCGCCACCGGCCCGCCGCCGCCATCTTCCCCCGCCGCGCCGCGGCCCGCCCCGCGCGCCCATTGGCTGGCTCCCTCCGCTGTTCCCGCCCACGAGGCGAAGCACCAATGATGATTGGTTAAATGAGCTGTCTGTCAATTGGAGGTACGAGGGGTGATGGGTAATGTAGTTCCTGCGCCTGATGATGGCAGCCGCCACAGAGCTGGGTGACCTCCCTTCTCTCGGGTCCCGGTGCCACCCCCAGAGGTGCCGGTGCCACCCCGGGTCCAGTGACGTCACACGGGGCGTGTCCCTGCGCCCCCAGCAGCGTGACTCCCTCAGCGTGGGCGTGGTCCTTCCGGTGACGTCACCGCCCGGTTGCCCCCCAGGACCGCTTCTCCTGCTGCGGGGTGTGACGTCACATCAAAGCTGTCACCGAGGGGGTGCGGGGAGTGACCGGGGGCGTGGTCGTGTGGATGACGTCACACGGGGGGGTGTATCCCTGTAAGAGTTTGCTACACCACGTGGAGAGGGGAACGCGTGTCTGCGTGACGTAACCGCCGAGGGCGTGGCCTTTTACTTCTGAGGCGTGGCCAGATTGTCCCTCCGTGTGTGACGTCACATCTGGGCGTGACCTCATCGAACCCTCCAGGGCGTGCCCGTAGTGACGTCACCCTCGGCGGGGGGGGGCGTGGCCGCGCGGCGGCCGTTCGCCGAGGGGGCGTGCCCTCCGCGCGTGACGTCACCGCGCGGGCGCGTCCGCCCGTGCGTGACGCTCCCGCCAGTGCCCAACATGGCGGCGGGCGGCGGCGGCGGCGGCTGTGGGGGGAGCCCGCTCTCGCCGGGCCCGTTCCTGCCGCCGCTGCTGCTGCTGCTGCTGGCGCTGCCCGGCGGCGCCGTTCCCGCGGCCGACACCGTAGTGCTGGGGCTGCGCCTGGAGGAGAGCACCAAACCGGCGGCGGCGGCGGCGGCACCGGCGGGGGCGGCCGAGCGCGGGCCCATCCGCCTGACGGAAGGCAGCGAGGCCTTGCTGCGGCTCTACGGGCTGGGGCTGGGCCCCGGCGCCGCCGAGCGCGTGGCCTTCGCCGAGCTGCGGCCGGGCGGCAACGCCTCGAGCGGCAACGCCACGTGCCAGGAGCGCTCGCAGGACCTGGTGGTGCGGCCCGGGCCCGCCGAGCCCCGCGACACCTCGGCCCTGCTCCGGGTGCGGGTGCAGCCGCTGCGCAAGGACGAGAGGGCCAAGACCTACGTGCTGTGCTCGCAGCGCCGGCCCGGCCAGCCCTGGCTGCCGCACCAAGGGCCCGACGGGCACGTGGTGGTGCTGGAGGAGAAGAAGTCGCTGCTGCCGCTGTGGTTGCAGGTGATTCTGATCGCGGGCTTGTTGGTGCTGTCGGGGATGTTCAGCGGGCTCAATTTGGGGCTGATGGCGTTGGATCCCATGGAGCTGAGGATCGTGCAGAACTGCGGCACCGATAAGGAGAAGCGTTACGCCCGCAGGATCGAGCCCATCCGCAGGAAGGGGAACTACCTGCTCTGCTCGCTGCTGCTGGGCAACGTGCTGGTCAACACCACGCTGACCATCCTGCTGGACGACCTCATCGGCTCCGGCGTCGGCGCCGTGGTGGCCTCCACCATCGGCATCGTCATCTTCGGCGAGATCGTGCCGCAGGCGCTGTGCTCGCGGCACGGGCTGGCCGTGGGCGCCAACACCATCGTGGTCACCAAGTTCTTCATGCTGGTCACCTTCCCGCTGTCCTACCCCATCAGCAAGCTGCTGGACTGCGTCCTGGGCCAGGAGATCGGCACCGTCTACAACCGGGAGAAGCTGGTGGAGATGCTGAAGGTGACGGAGCCCTACAACGACCTGGTGAGGGAGGAGCTCAACATGATCCAGGGAGCGCTGGAGCTGCGCACCAAGACGGTGGAGGACGTGATGACCCCGCTGCAGAACTGCTTCATGATCAACAGCGACGCCATCCTGGACTTCAACACCATGTCGGAGATCATGGAGAGCGGCTACACGCGCATCCCGGTCTACGAGGACGAGAGGTCCAACATCATGGACATCCTCTACGTCAAGGACCTGGCCTTCGTGGACCCCGACGACTGCACGCCCCTCAAGACCATCACCAAGTTCTACAACCACCCCGTGCACGTGGTGTTCCACGACACCAAGCTGGACGCCATGCTGGAGGAGTTCAAGAAGGGTGAGGAGGGGCTGGTGGAGGTGCTGGAAGGAAAATTCCAGAGGGTTTTGGTCTGCAGGGCTGGAGCTGGCCGTGCCAGAGTGGCCACAAAACCAAGGGGACAAGTGACAGCTCGGGGACAGGCAGGAGGTCGCCAAATTTAAGGTCCCTTCCAACCCCAACCGTTCCCTGATTCCGTGTGCTGGTTCAGGTGGGATTTTGGGAAGGAAGGTCCCAACATTTGGGGGTTTTGTTCTCCTGCGTTTGGAGCTTTCCCATGCCAGGAATGTTTTCCTTGTTTTTAATGCTCAGCCCCAGAAGTTTTTGGAGAAGCGCTGGAAAATCTCTGGGCTCCTTGGATTTGGGTTTTGGTTCCTGGCAACAGCCAGGGCTGCCAGAGCCAGCTCCATCCTCATCCTCACTCTGCTTCCCAAAAATCAGCAGCAGGAGGAGGAAGGGGATGAAGGAAAGCTCCCAGGTGGGATTTGCCCTTTTGGGGATCTTTTCCCAAGGTTTTCCAGCCTGACCCCACAATTCCTTTGGGATGAAGGAAAGCTCCCAGCTGTGACCTCAAGCTCAGCTCCTGCAGGAGGCTCAGCCTGAGCTTTGTGCCACATTCCAGGGACATTTAGGGATTCCTAAACCCCATCCAGGGGTGATTTAGGGATTCCTAAACCCCATCCAGGGACATTTAGGCATTCCTAAACCCCATCCAGGGGTGATTTAGGCATTCCTAAACCCCATCCAGGGACATTTAGGCATTCCTAAACCCCATCCAGGGGTGATTTAGGCATTCCTAAACCCCATCCAGGGACATTTAGGGATTCCTAAACCCCATCCAGGGACATTTAGGGATTCCTAAACCCCATCCAGGGACATTTAGGGATTCCTAAACCCCATCCAGGGACAATTAGGGATTCCTAAACCCCTCCAGGCGTGGGGGAACATCTGGGAGAGGCTGTCCCAGTCCAGCCCAGTTCCCAAAAGCCGTGAGTGCTGAGCTGCTGCTGGGGTTGGGCTTGTCCTGGCAGCTGGCAGAGGCTTTCCCTGCCCCGATCCCGATTAAGGGATTTAAGCTCCCTCCCTCCCTCCCTCCCTCCCTCCCTCCTTCCTTCCTTCTTTCCTTCCTTCCGGGCACAAATCCCAGCCCTGTTATTTTTCCACCGCCGGCTCAGGAGCCGGGAATTTGCGGGGTTGGGGTTTTGGAGGTGAGCCCCGTAAATTCCTGGTGGGTTCAGGACCTCCTTGACCCGGTCGGGAGCCGGATCAGAGGCAGGAGAGGGAATAATTAAGTGGTTGTGCTAATTGTGGGGTTTGAGCTGTGCCCCAGGGCTGTGGGGATGTCACAGGTGCTGCCCTCGGGGTGACAGTTCCTTCCCAACTCGAGGATTTGAGTGGGGAATTTCCCTCTGGAGCTGGGAATGTTCACCTGGAGAAGGATCCAGGGAGAGCTGGGAATGTTCCTCTGGAGAAGGGAAGGATCCAAGGAGAGCTCAGAACCCTCCAGGAGAGCTGGAGAAGGACTGGGGCTCCCTCCCTCCCTCCCTCCTTCCTTCCTTCTTTCCTTCCTTCCGGGCACAAATCCCAGCCCTGTTATTTTTCCACCGCCGGCTCAGGAGCCGGGAATTTGCGGGGTTGGGGTTTTGGAGGTGAGCCCCGTAAATTCCTGGTGGGTTCAGGACCTCCTTGACCCGGTCGGGAGCCGGATCAGAGGCAGGAGAGGGAATAATTAAGTGGTTGTGCTAATTGTGGGGTTTGAGCTGTGCCCCAGGGCTGTGGGGATGTCACAGGTGCTGCCCTCGGGGTGACACTCGAGGATTTGAGTGGGGAATTTCCCTCTGGAGCTGGGAATGTTCACCTGGAGAAGGATCCAGGGAGAGCTGGGAATGTTCCTCTGGAGAAGGGAAGGATCCAAGGAGAGCTCAGAACCCTCCAGGAGAGCTGGAGAAGGACTGGGGACAAGGGATGGAGAGACAGGACACAGGGAATGGCTTCCAAATGGAAAAATAGGGATTTTAGTGGGATTTTTTGGGAAGGAGTTCCTGGCTGGGATGGAATTCCCAGAGCAGCTGGGACCCCTGGAAGCGTCCAAGACCGGGTTGGAGCCACCTGGGACAGTGGAAAGTGTGGGACCCATGGTAGGACCAGCTTTGGGGTTCCCTCCAACCCAAACCATTCCTTGGCTCCCTGTGGAGATTTAGGTGGGATTTTGGGAAGAAATAATTGGGTGAGGGGCTGGAATTCCCAGAGAAGCTGTGGCTGGAGGTGTCCTCAAGGCCAGATTGGAGCCACCTGGGACAGTGGGAGGTGTAGGGTCTTCCCAACCATTCCAGGATTCCATGGGGAGCTCTGCTGTCCCCCAGGATGGCTCTGGGGACACTGATGGGGTTTGGAACCTCCAGAATGTCCCATTCCTGGTGGCATCTCCAACCCAGGGATCCCTGGAAGTGTCCCCAAGGCCAGGCTGGAGCCACCAGGTTCAGAGGGACTGGAGGAGCCCTAAGGTCCCTCCCAGCCACTCCAGAATTCCATGAACACCCCGATGGGACCTCCCTGTCCCTCTGGCTGTTGTTCCCCCACCCCATTTTGGGTTCCTGGGGTGTGTCACCCCCTTGGTGACCCCAGCCTGGCCTCCCTGGTGCCCTTTGGCCATGTTTGCTCTGCCACAGCCACTCCCTGTGCCGCTCATCCTGACTCACCTGTCCCACCTCGCCTGTCCCCACCTGTCCCCACCCCACCCAAGGTGGCCCCGTGAGAAATGAAATTGTTTCTTCAGCCCTCCAGGCACCAACTTTCCCCAGAGCTGTGGGAGGAGGGAAAAGGAGATCTGGGATCCCCTAAAATCCCAGATTTTCCTAATCAGCTCAAATTTCCCTAAAATCAGCTTTTCCTGAGTGAGCAGGAGCTGGTGGAGGCTGGAATTAAAGAGTGGAGAAGGTCAGGGAGGGAAGGTTTGGGGGGGAGATGGAGTGGGACACGGTGGGGACACTCAGGAGGGGGAAAGGGAATTCCTGGTGGTGACAGTGACATCCCTGGAATGCCAGGCCCATGCCACAGCCCAAGGTGCCTTCAGCCTCACGGCACCCTTCCTCTTCTCCAGCTTTAATGGGGTTAATTAGTGTCATTACTTTGGGAGGCTTAATTAGTGTCATTACCCTGGGAGGGAGCCCAGCCCAAGGGCTCGTTTAGGTTTTAATGAGTTTATTGCTCCAGGGAGGGACGGGATGGGCTGGGACATCCTGGGGACATGGAAGGGTGGGGACATCCCATGGCTGGGACATCTTGGGAACATCCCTGGGCATCGTGGGGGGCTGTCCCATTCCAAGACCCCCCGTGTCCACAGGGAAGTCCCACCTGGCCATCGTGCAGAAGGTGAACAACGAGGGCGAGGGCGACCCCTTCTACGAGGTGCTGGGGCTGGTGACGCTCGAGGACGTCATCGAGGAGATCATCAAGTCGGAGATCCTGGACGAGTCCGACACCTACAGTAGGTTTTGGGGCTCCCCCCTCCCCAAAACCCCATTTTAGGGGGTTCCTCGTGGTCCCCCTGGAGGTGACCCCGCTGTTCCCCGCAGTTGACAACCGCAGCAGGAAGAGGGTGTGCAACCAGAAGAACCGACGGGACTTCTCGGCCTTCAAGGACCCCGACAACGAGCTGAAGGTCAAGGTGTCACCTCAGCTCCTGCTGGCCGCCCACCGCTTCCTGTCCACCGGTCAGTTTGGATGTGCCAGGGCTGGGACGTCCTGGGGACATCCCATGGCTGGGACATCCCAGGGTTTGGGACGTCCTGGGGACATCCCATGGCTGGGACATCTTGGGAACTGGAGGATCTTGGAGCTGGAGGAGCTCACAAAGTCCTTGTGTCCCCTCTGGTCACTTCAAGCAGAAATTTTGGCTCTTGTCCCACTTTTTGTTGTGTCCATCCCACCCAAAATGGGAGGGGACAAGGTTGGGGATGGGTGTCCTGGTCCCTTGGGTTTTGATGGCTTCTTTGGGACCTCTGGGATGGACATCCTGGCCCTTTGGAGTCCTCCAGGATGGACATTCCAACCCCAAGGGTCTCCTAGACCACCCCAGGGTGGGAATTCCAGCCCTTTGGGTTCCTTGACCATCCCAGGATGGGAATCCTGGTCCCAAGGGTCTCCTAGACCATCCCAGGATGGACATCCACTTCCACCTGGAGGGATTAAAACCACCTCTGACCTTCTCCCTCCTCTCCAGAGGTGACCCTCTTCACCCCCAACTTCATCTCGGAGAAGATCCTGCTGCGGCTCCTCAAATACTCCGACGTCATCCAGGAGCTCAAGTTCGACGAGGAGAACAAGAAATCCCCGCGGCACTTCCTGTACAGCAAGAACAAACCGGCCGACTACTTCATCCTCATCCTGCAGGTGAGGGCAGCTCCTGAGGCACCTCAGCCCCTGGGCTGGGGGGAGTTCCTGAGGGGCCTTTGGGGTTTGGACAGTTCCCCTGGGATCTCATCCCTTGGGATCTGGACGTGGATCGACGTTGTTCTTCTGCAGGGCAAGGTGGAGGTGGAGGCTGGCAAGGAGTGCATGAAGTTCGAGGCAGGAGCCTTTTCCTACTACGGGGTGATGGCCCTGAGTCCTCCTCCTGGATCTGGTGAGCATCTCCAGAACCTTCCAGGGGCCCCTGGGTCAGAGCTGCCACCAGGAGATTCCCGAGGTTGCAAACCCCACTGATGTCCTGGGGACAGCAGAGCTCCCCATGGAATCCTGGAGTAGTTGGAAGGGACCTTAGGGCTCCATGGGCAGGGACATCTCCCACTGTCCGTGGTGGCTCCAGCCTGGCCCTGGGGACACTTCCAGTGACCCTTGGGTCAGAGCTGCCCTGGGAACAGGAGATTCCAGAGGCTCCAAACCCTGCTGGTGCTCTGGATGAGCAGCTCCGTGCCCGAGTGGCCGATTTGGGGTTATTGGGATTCTTGTTAAACCTCCCTTTTTAGGAAGAGTTTAACTTCTGGAATCCCACCCTGGAACTAAACCTAAACCTAAACCTCCATGAGTCAATTCCAGAACTCCAAAGAACTCTGCCTTCAGAACGGGGCAAAAAACCCAAATTAAGGGGATGAGCTCTTCAGAAATGGTCAATGGGTAGAAAAACCAGGATGGGGAATGTTGGGAAAGACCAGAGGACGATCCCGACCCTTCCTAACCCCACAGAGATCCGTTCCCCGTCCCACATGAGCGGCCTGAACCGCTCGGCCTCGCTGAGCTACCACGAGCGCTCGGACTCGGGCTCGTCGCCGGTGAGCGGCAGCAACAACCAGCTCAACGCCGGCGGCGCCCAGTACGTGGCCGACTTCAGCGTCCGCGCCCTCACCGACCTCCAGTTCGTCAAGGTGAGCGTTCCCGGCCGGAATGGGGCTGGGAAAACCCTTTGGGATGGGATTCCTGGCCTGTCAGGGATGGGAGGAACCTTTGGGATGGGATTCCTGACCCATCAGGGATGGGAGGAACCTTTGCGATGGAATTCCCAAACCATCAGGGATGGGAGAATCCTTTGGGATGGGATTCCTGACCCATCAGGGATGGGAGGAACCTTTGGGAAGGGATTCCTGACCCGTCAGGGATGGGAGGAACCTTTGGGATGGGATTCCTGACCCGTCAGGGATGGGAGGAACCTTTGGGATGGGATTCCTGACCCATCAGGGATGGAAGGAACCTTTGGGATGGGATTCCCAAACCATCAGGGATGGGAAAACCCTTTGGGATGGGATTCCCAAACCAT